GCCATCTTTCATTTTTTTCCATGTCTAGTATCTGTTACTCGTTATGTTTTTACACACATCCTTCACTTTGCAACCCCTCCAAATCCCCCATATTTTTCTGTTATTTCCCACCTTTTCTCAGCAGCCTGATTGGCGAGTAACTATGTAACCAAGTCCTGTTTCTGCTCTCATGGGATGAAATTGTGAATACTGGGGAGTTTGCATTTGTTAAAACAAACAAAATCTATAGGTACAATAATCGTTAACAGGATGGGTTGCTTGGAAGCTGGAAAATAGATTCTTGTGCATAAACTCCATGTAAAAAGAGACAAAATAGACTGAAGAGATCTAGTGCTTTTGAGTAGTCTAATTAATGCCTGTTCCCATGAAATCTGTAGAGAAACCGTAAGATGTTTTCCTCTACCAGGGTTTGTTGTGTTTGAAAGAAGTAAGTAGTGAATTACAGATTTAGAAGGCTTTTCTGTACATGTGGCACGGAGAGAAGAAGGGTTAATTGTAATAGAAAAAGAGAATTTGCTCACACAATTTAAAGAGTTGTCAATTAAGTAATTCTCTGAATAGGAGAGATTGTAAGTAATGTAATGGGCTCTAGTGTATTTTCATAGAATCATCTTAGGGAAGTTTTATTCTAGGCCTAGCCCAATCTGGTTCTCTGGAGTCCCATGTGTATGGTAAAACTTGAGGTAACGTCCCCATGGCCCTTTGAGCTGGTCTGGCCTGGGGCTCTCGCAGCCATGTTGCCCTCTTGAGCCATCCCTGACTCCACATTAATTGGCAATGAGTTGGTTTTGGGGGCATGAACGGACTGACAACTACACTTGCTTGTGAGAGCAGTTGGTGCCTGGCTGGACGAGCCCCAGGGCTCATCTGGCTCCCCAGCGGTGCTGCTGGAGGGGGTGGCTGCGAAGCAGGGCGGCCGGGGATGGGGTCCACTCTGGAAGTGCAAACTGGGCATGTAGGTGTAGGACAGCACCTCATAACAGCACTGCATGTTCATAGCCTATTGCTTCTTGTTTCTGACCAAACCCTTGATGCCTTCTGGGCTAGTCTGTGGCGGCGGCTGAAGGTGCTGGTATTTAATAGCACCATTTCAGTCTGGTGAATGGTGTCTTGACAGGAAAAAAAAAAATAACATGAATGAAAACAAAAGAAGTAGAAGGCTGCTGCTTGGGAGGAAGATAATAAGATAGGTTTAGAAGAAACCTTTATTAAGCTTCAGTTTAGCATAATTATTTCCTGTAGAAAACAAAACGAAAAATACACAACAGGCCGGAGATCGGAAGGTATAGTTGCATAGGCCCAAATGCATCTCTTAAAAATAATCAAGCAGTCTGGGGGAGGCGGGAGTTTTCCACATAAACTTTGCTTGCACGTGAACTGCTCTGCTCCAGACCTGTTTCTCTTGATGCTTTGCAGAGGCCTGAGTCTGCATTTTTATATCTATCTATCTATATTTCTTTTCCCCCTAGTTAAATCCCTTTAATTGGAAATCAGCTTGACCTCTGGTAGTTCCTGAAAAAAAATCTCTATATCATCTGGCCCTACTGATCTGTATTTAATGTAATTCTTTCACTTGCTTATTATCCTTTCGCCTCCTGAACAATTTTTCATTGGTCTTTTAACTCCATGCAATTCTTAATGCTTCTTTTAAAATGCCAAAAGAAGAGTTCCTATTTCTGTTGTAGCCTAATGCTTATTTATCCTTCTTTTATAATAGTTCTCTGTTTCCTCTTACTTGTTACGAACTACTAAATCCTATATTGCTTTTTACTCTTCAGAAGCAAATACCTCCACTTGTACTGTTTAAACTAATACATTTTTCATGAGCTGCATGCTCTTCCCTGTTTTTTCTTCTTTGTACTCTTGAGCCTGTTGACCAACACCAGCCAAAATTGACAAAGTGGCATCAGTGTCAAGGATATCAAATTTTTCTGGTTTTATGAAAAACATAAAGTTGGTAGAGGGGAATGACCCAAATGAATGTTTCTGCTAATGGAAAATCTGCAGCATGATGTCAAGTTACCTGCTCTGTTAGACCTGACTTGAACTGGCCAGCTAAGTGGATGCAGGGCTGTGTACCAGCCGGTGGTTTTGATGCTCTCGGACAGGCTGATAGGGAGCAAAGCTGGGTTTTACAGCAGTGCTGTAGGAGCTCCGGGCTGCAGCCCGGGGAAGGCTGGAGTGCCCAGCACAGACGTGAAGATGTGTAGGATGTGTATGTGAGATCAGTGATTCGCACCTGGTCTTGAGGTACCCCAACTGAATGGTTCTTAAAATTGAGCCCTGCAAAGCCCTAATTTCCATGGAGCAGGTCTCAAAACATGAGGCCTGAAACTCAAAACATTTTACTAATCAGTAAAATTTTGAGTACGAAACTGGTGTATACACTGGTCTACACGCAGTTCCAGGGCTTGACAATGGTACGTTTGGAGCTTGATGTCTGTTGGCATATTCTGTAAATAGATTTGTTTTCTTTTTAGGAGGGAAAAATCCAGAAGGAGAATGTATTTGTAATTTTCGCTTATATCTTACAGCAGCTCCATGCTGAAAAGGTAAAATAATTTTTCAGTTGGAGTTGGGTTTTTTGGATGGGAGAGGTTTGAGGAGTGATTGGGGCTTGTGCTGCTTTTTTCCCAGTGCCTTTTCTAAAAGGTGGTTCAACAGGATGTTTGGGGGAAATGTGACATTACTGGGTTTTGGCATTCCAGGAGAGCTTGAGGTGGATCCAATATATTGTCTTATAGGTTGCTTCTCCACCAAATGTCAGGAGTAATTCATGTTGCTGACAGCAATGTCAACATGTGAAACTGAATGAAGGACAGGAACTAAACAAAAAGCTGATAATAGAGAGGCAAGAAAGTGAGAAGTGAACATTTCATTAGTAAACTTTCTCACCCTTGCAAGTAAGAGGGTCGCATAGTGCAGCCTGTCCTTATCTGTTACAGCACGTGCCTTCTTGGTGGCAACGTTCAAGCGAACCAGAGCCGTTTGTACATCTCTCTGCGTTTTGTGAGCATGGGAAACAGGCAGTTTACCCAAGAAACAGGCACGTTGGACTTATATAGAGGCATACAAAAGTCACTTTGATTTGTCTCCATTTGTTTAATTATTTACCCTCCCTTAAGCTTATGCTTCCAGACACTCTGTATTTAAAGCGTGGTCTCACTTGTACCCATTGCAAACGTTAGATATGCGAGTTGTCTGCCAGGCAGTGGGAGGCATCACGTTAGTTGTTGTCTGATATGTCTTCTGCAATAGAAGAGTCACCTCTGTTGGTTCAGTGATTACCACAGCGTGCATCCTGTGATAAACTAACCGGCAGCTCTAGTACAGGCTGTTGAAGAAACATTTATTCTGTTTTGAGACGTGCTTAGTCACCCCTGTTTTGGACTCTAACACTTATGGGCCCCTTAGAATTACAGGTTACGGGGTGTTACTCCTTGTTCTGTCCTAGTAAAGCTGATGAACAAGTTAGTCGGAAGGCCACTTTGTGAGAAAGTTTGTGGTACTGGAGGGAGTGAATTCTGGAGTGCTGTGTTATTGCCCTAGTATGTTGTATACTGGTAGCAGGAATCGGAGAATACATTCCACGTTTCGTTTTGTGTTTGTAAATCTTAACAGTTTGCATCATGCAGGTACGGAGTGGCTGCTAAATATGGGACAGGCATATGTAAGAGGATCTTTCCGGGTAGGAAATATGATACAGACCACCTGTGTCCTAAAGACAACATTCAGCTATAAATATTTGTTCACCGTTGTAAATAAACAACTTTACTAGAGAGACTTGCCTTTATTTTGGCTTTTTCTGGTTGTTAAGCTAGTTTGTTTGCTTTGCTTGTGTAGAACACATCCCTATCCTTAGTTATTAGTATGCTTTGTGTTGATTTTTTTTAGGTGGCCTGGCGGTATGCAGATCTAGTCCATTTTGTGTTTAACTGAATTGTTGCATAAATTAAAATATTTTCTCTTACCAGAATTAAAATGCTTTCTGTGAGGACTTCTGCTTCTGATGCCAGGACTCTCTTGAAGACTGACTTCGTTGCTTGGCTTAAAGGAAGATGATGTTGTTAATGAATTCTGAGCGTCCTTCAAGAGGCTGGTGACCCTTCTGTCGTTAGTGAATGCTGTCATGGACAACTTCAAAGGGTAAAGACAGTATTTTTGTGAGTCTCTTTGAGTGCTCTGATACAGGAAGCAGTGGGTTGATTTAGATTAACTGCTCGAAGCTCGTTCTTTCTGCTCTTAAAACCATTCACGAATTATGGGAACAAATTTAACAGTTTGGTGGAGTAGCTGTCCAACTTTCTATATGAGCTGTCTTTGAAGGGTATATTTACTCTCCAGATTATAACACAGATATACCTGAGCTAGCTTTAAATGAACTAATTTGGGTCTGGTTTTACTGCAAGCTGTGAGCAGTGAAGTAGCTTAGGTTTTGTTGAGCTGTGTACTGCTGCAGCCTGACTAGGTACTTTGTTTAAAAAGTCAGTTTTGGTTTAAGTATTTCAAAACTATGCTATGGATAATTTTAGCTGTACCTTCAGCTGTAACTGTAGATACTCTTCTACAGTTGTTTACTGAAAGGGCCGGATTTCATTTCGCGCTTGATTTCATATCCATAAATCAGTGCAAGATTTTTTCTCTTAATAAATCCCCCCCAAATAATGCTTAAATTAAATATTAGTATTTTTATTGCTTGAGGGCTAGTTTTGGCTAATGTTTCTTCGTAGTCTGTTTTTAAAACACAGTAAATGGGAACCCCCACTTTGTAACCTCCAACTAAATAATTGTCTTAAAATGTAATAGTTTATTAATGTTTTAGTAGCAGTAATTTGTTTAAGAGGATATTCCAAAGAGTACAGTTTGCTTTGTAAGCATGCTTTATCTGCTTACTATGTTTATTCATTCTGTTTTATCAGCTTTTTTCCGAAACACCGCAAGCAGTTAATGCACCTTATAAAGGACTCCTGACCTCTCACACCTTCCGAAGACATATCTAGATGCCACCAGTGTTTCCCATGTTAACAGTTCTGAGCATGTTTTACTATATGTGCCTTCGGCGCCGAGCTAGGACAGCGACGAGAGGAGAAATGAACAGCCGGAGGGCTATTGAATCAAACACCCGAGCCTTACCTATCAACGTCGAAATAGTTCAGTATGCCAAAGAAGTGTTGGATTTCAGCTCTCACTACGGTAGTGAGAACAGCATGTCGTATACCATGTGGAATTTAGCAGGCATTCCAAATGTGTACCCTAGTTCTGGTGACTTTACTCAGACCGCCGTCTTTCGAACTTACGGGACCTGGTGGGATCGTTGCCCTAGCGCCCGGCTGCCATTCAAGAGGACGCCACCCACCTTCTGTAGCCAGGACTACGTGGAACTCGCTTTTGAGGAACCGGTTTATCCCACTGCAGTGCACATTCTGGAAACGTATCATCCTGGAGCTGTAGTCAGGATTTTGGCATGCTCTGCAAATCCTTACTCTCAAAATCCACCAGCTGAAGTAAGGTAATTTTTTTTCTTTTGTTCTCCTTTATGCTTACCTGTAAGTTGTGAAATGCTACAAATAATGCTGTTTAGTGACCTTCAGTTCCTAGTATTTCTCTGTTTTGTATCTGACCTTTTATTTCTGCATGGTTTTAAAACTATGTTCACATGTTTTTATCCAACTTCAGAGGTGTGGATTTTTTGGTAGGAATTAATGCAGCTCCTGATATCAGATTTCATTTGTGTAATGATACTTTTTGCACTGGAATTTTTATGAGCCATAATTATCCTGTATGTACAGAAATGACTTTTAAATGGCAGTTCTGAGTTATTCTCTTTCTCCAAAAAGAAACTGTGTAGAAGAGGCTGAGGATTCACAGTTGCTGTATCATCTTGCTTCAAGTAGCCATAAACTTTCTTCTCTCTGCATACTTTAGGTTATATGTATAGGATAATCAGGCACTATAACTATTCATATGGAATTGAGGCCAAAACCAGAAGCGCTGAACAGTCGGGTAAAAGGTGATGCCATTTGTCTGATCTTTATTTTCAGTCTGATCAAATGGTGTGAGCTGCACTTCACTTTTACACTTGCTTCATATACTGAGAGCTTCTGATTTGGTCCTGTCAGCTTTCCTCATTGTAGGAACTCCTGATGAAATTCCAGTGGGTGAGCAGGAAGATGGGGACCTGAGGAATGGTAGGATAATGAAGAAAACCCATGTGTATGAGGTGTGAAGTTCTTAGTGAGGAGGGGAGGAAATAGAAATGGAAGGAGAAAGAGAACAGGTAAAAGCGCTTAGTGGGAATCAACATTGGCAAAGCTGTCAGTATATGCAATCCAAGTATTCTGTATACATCAGAAAGAGATGAAATATGATACCAAATCCGTAAAGGAAAGGAGAACTGATAGAAGAATGACTTAACAAAATGTGTCCTGTAGAAAATATGCCAAGAAATACTGTATTCCTTTAAAATGCACGGTGTTGGTGGTATAAACAGTGTTAGCTTGGATGCTGGGTGGTTTTTTTCCCCTGATCTGCCTTTTACAGATTCAGCTAAAAGCTTGCTTTTAGATCTAACTTAGTATCCCGTGCTTCCTAATACCAGGCCATTGAAGTTTATTCAAAACCCCTAGAAAATCAGGTGTCATGTTGTATATTCAAAACTTCAACTTTTGTGTGATTCTGTCATCTACTGTTGTTTAGTGCAGTTGTTCGTTTTACAGCTCTCTAATGAGTATATACTGTATAGCTCTATAGTAAACATCTGGATTCAAGGAACAGTGATGTCAAACTAATAATAATAGGCCACCCAGCTTCAGAAGTAGCAGTGGGTTTGGCACTGCGATACAGAACTTATTTGTCGGATGGTATGTGGTGAAGGGCAGCTTTCACGGCTTTTGAACTTAGAACCTAATGGGAAGCTACTTTCGGCCAATTACTGTGTGAGCTTTCATTTTAGTTATTTTATGATGTAACACAGATTTACGTAGAGATTTATTTCTGTTACTGTTGATAATTTTGCATTGGAGTAATAGTAAGATAGTGTGCTGCAGGGCAGTACAAGGATATAATTCCGAGTAGAATCATAGAATCACAGAAT